GCCGGGGACCCCCGGGCGGCGGCGGGGGCTACGGGGAGAGCGAATCCAGCGCCAGCGAGGGCGAGTCCCCGGCCTTCAGCTCTGCCTCCAGCGACTCGGACGGCAGCGGTGGCCTGGTGTGGCCGCAGCAGCTGGTGGCAGCCACCGCAGCCTCTGGGCCTGGGGGTGGTGCAGGTGGAGGGGCACCCGCCGGCCCCGCCAAGGTGTTTGTAAAGATCAAGGCTTCCCACGCGCTCAAGAAAAAGATCCTGCGTTTCCGGTCGGGTTCACTCAAGGTCATGACTACAGTGTGAGTTTAGGGGTTCGCTTGGGCTCCCCCTTCGTGGCCTCTGCACCTCCGCACGCCCACTCACTAACCCTTCACTCCTCCCTTCCAAAGACTAGTTTTCTCTGCTTCCAAAGACCCTTATGCCTCCCTCCCTCCACAGCCATAGCCGTTAAACCCCACCACCACTAGAAGAGGGAGGAATGGGGGAGGGGAGCCCTGTGGGACCCCCCCCCCCATTCAACTCTGGGAGCCCTTGGGCAAGAAAATTCCCATTCTCTGGGCCTCACTTTTCTCATCTGTACAATGAATGCCCCTGTATGCAGAAGGTGGGGGGATTCCGTTGTGAAATTCCCTATTTTAGTTTAGACACCTTTCATTTCTCACGGAGGCCCCCCACCCCTCATTCTTCGTTTCAAAAGCTCCTTTCTATGGGCCCCTCTCATTCACAAAGTGCCCCTCACCCACCTCATGACACTTGGCACCCAATTAGAGACTCTTGTGTCTGACCCAGGCGGTGTCTGCAGAGTGTCCTGGGAAGGGAAGGAGCGCTGACTTTGGGGTTTTGAGGGTCAAGTAGGAGTTGGAAGCACCTGGAAAAGAAGAACTCTTTCACCTCTATTCCCTGGACGATCCAGGGGCCCTGGGAGGTGGAAAAGAGGAAGGAGGATGGAAAAGACACCTCCCCTTATGACAGGGATTGTGGGGGGGGCAGGATGACTCAGCTGTTCCAATCCAGTATTTTATTTTTCTTCTTTGAAATAAAAACGGACTGTATTTATTATGACGATGGTGCCTCCCCGGTGCACAGGGGGGCCAGATTCCGTGTGTTTCTGTAGCCTCTTTGTAAATAAATGCACAGTGTATAACACATGGGGACTCTTATTCTCTGGCTAAATGGGAGAATGCCCTTTTTTTCCAGACTAATGTTTATTGGTTAACACTAGAACTGCCCCAGGGTGCTTCCGAAGGAGCCTTAGTATTGTTAGTGGATTCCAAGTGGGATTGCTAACTGCAAGGTCAGCAGTTCAAACACACCAGCCTCTTCGAAGGAGAACGATGAGGTTTTCTGCTCTCGTGAAGAGTACCTTGCCCTAGCGGACTTTCTTTTCTGTATAAGAGTTTTATATAAAGGGTATTGTACATTAAGAAAGCATCCCCATCCAGTCCACGCCCATAAATCCGATATTAGCTCAGATGTCCAATACCAATCTATAAAGTCCTCTTCAGACTCACGAGACCTATGCAATGATGCCAAATGCAGGACGATCACAGGACAGTGGGTAGAAAGTCTTTGGATCCAGTGGCGTAAGCATCTCAGTGCTGGCAGGTGTGTCCATGTGGTTTCTCCAGCACCCAGGGCTGCATTAGGGTAGGTCCATCTGGCTTCTCCGCTCAGGGTACTAGTGTAGTTCCATGTGTCTTATCAGCTGCAGTGTCTCCCAGGGAGTCGCCTTATCTGTTTTCTATGAGGCAGAATTAACTCTGCCAGTAGGATTTAGAGTTGTGTCTAATACAGAAATAGTAGTGCCCGGAACCAGATGCCAGATCCCAAAGCTAGGTCTCAACACATCTTCCTGCTTGAGTTCAATGACCCTGACCTTTGGTTGTGTTTGATTGTGACCATCGATAGAGTTTCAGACAAAAATTGGAACAATAGAGATCAAAGAAAGTGAAACCAGTAGCCACCGGGTCCATTACGACTCATACGGACCCTATAGGACAGAGTAGAACTCCCTAAGGTTTCCGGGACTGTAACTCAGCTTCCTCTAGGGTTTCCGGGACTGTAACCCTATGGGAGCAGATAGCTTCATCGTTCTCCTGAGGAGGGGCTGATGGATTTGAACTGATGACCTTGCGGGTTGACAGCCCATTGCCTAACCCACTAGGTTACCAGCACTAAAGGCGAATAAAAGTGGGGTGGGGGAGAAGAAATCATCCGTATTGGCTGCCCAAAAGCCAACCCCTACAAGACGGGTCAGATTTTCCACCACCCTGCAGTCTGACCCCGGCTGTCCTTCCCCCAGCACTGGTTACTCCTAAACTAGGAGGTGTGCAGAACTCACGGGCCATATGGCATCTGAGGTTTACTAGGGAAGCAACGAGGAGCCCTGGTGGCATAGTGGGTGATGAGTTATTAGTTGGGCTGCTCACTGCAAGGTCAGCAGTTTGAACCCATATACTGCTTCACAGGGAGAAACGTGAGGCTCCCATCAAAGGCTTACAGCCTCCGGAACACCGTATGGGGCCACTTAGGTTACAATTCAGGTTCAAGAATGCTCAGGATACAGTTCTTCAAGCAAGAGTTTCTCTCAGCAGCAGTTTCTGCTGGCACGTGTCTCCAGCCCATCAGCCATGAGCCTTGCTCAGACAACGCAGTAGAAAGCTCATTTAACTGCCAATGAGTTAGAAGCACCCCCACGCACCAGCAAGCCTCTTGCCAAAAGTGCCTTTAATGTTCTCATTCTCAGTCCTATCGGAAGGGGTTCAGCTCTCACGCTATGGGTCTGGAAGCCCACCTCATGGTCTCCTGGCCACCTGGTTCTGTACTGGGAGGTTCAACAGAGACCTCAGCATTCCTTAAGAGTGTTAATTGGTTAATTACAGGCCAATGGATTACTTGACAGGAAGACAATACAGTGGGAGGGGTATGTGTGTGTTTGGGTTGTAGCTTCAGTTCCAGGCTAAAAGGCTTTCTGAGGATGTTGGTCCCTAAGTTTCCTCCAGTCTCTATACTCTGATGATAAGTCTGGTCTTTCCTATGACTTTGAGTTTCATTCTGCTTCTCTCTGTTTCTGGTCAGAAGGGCATTGGTTTTGCTAGCTGGGTAGCATCTACTTCTCCTTGTATCGGGCTCGAGGAGGCCGTGGTTTGGGTTGGCCATTAGTAGGCCTGTGGACAAATTGTTTCCCTGGGTCTTTGGGCTCTTTCCCCCTCCTTGTCCGTGATGGGAAGAAGAGGCCAGTAGTTGTATTTTAGATGGCTGCTAGCAAGCTTTGAAAATCCCAGCAACCCCAAAACCAAACTCACTTCCGTGGAGTCATTGCTGGCTCATAGCCAGCCTTGTGGATTTCCGAGACTAACTGTTGATGGGAGTCGAGAACCCAGTCTTTCTCTCCCAGAGCTGCTGATGGTTTTGAACCGCCAACCATGTGGAAGAACCCAGCTCCTAAGTACTGCACCTCGACAGCTATGTACCAACCCAGAATCTAGAACATTCTCTTGATGAACTATGTTGTACCAATCAATCTAGTTGTCCTCCAGTAGTATGGTCCTGCGCCTCCAAACCCAAGAACTCAATCCCAAGAGGTGTTTGGATATATCGAGAAAGTTTCCATAACAATTTTCCCTACGTGCTCATATGTATATATGAATATATGATCAAGTAACCCATACAAATATGCCTACATATATACAAAAGCCCACACTCATACCTATGTATGCATATGCATATACTGCCAGATGTCTTGCCACACCTATACAGCGTGCATATGGCCATCAACCTAGGTAATCACCCACAAAGTTTTGGTTGTTATCTCCTATTATTGCAGAATCCGGGATGTGAGATCATTTATCATAATAGTCCCCCACAAACACACCTTTTTTTTCCCCAAAATACTCATCACAATTCATACATTCATCCAGTACGTCAAGCACATTTGCACCTAGGCCGCCATCATCATTTTCAAAGCATTCTCTTCCTACTTGAGCCCCTGAGATCACCTCCCCATTTCTTCCCCCTCCCTCCCCTGCCCACCCTCCCTCATGAATGTTTGATCAATTATAGATTATTACTTCCATATCTTACTTCGTCCTCTGTCGCCCCTCACCCACTTTTCTGTTATTTGTCCCCCTGGAAGGGGGTTCTAGATTCATCCTTGTGATCAATTCCCCCTTTCTCCCTCCACCCTCCCCTGATATCTCTACGCTGGCTGTTGGCCCTGAGGGGTTTATCTAACCTGGATTCCCTGTGTTTTGGACTCTTATCTGTAGCACTGTGCATGCTCTGGTCTAATCTGATTTGTAAGGAAGAATTGAGGTCAAGATAGTGGGGGGAAGGAAGCACCAAAGAACTAGAGGAAAGTTGTGTGTTTCACCGGTGCTATATTGTACCCTGACTGGCTCATCCACACACACCTTTTTAAAAACTTAAAAAAAAAACAAAAAACTTTTTCTTGTGATTTGAGTAGCAGTTTATAGAGCCACTTGGTTTTCCATTCAACAAATCCTTTGCATTCTGTTTCCTTACATTGATTGCAATCCTCGCAACTTAACAGCTCCTGGTTCACGTCTTCGCTGTGTGTCCTGTTCCATCCGTCCTTCTCTCCCCTGCGGTTGTCCTTGTTCCCTGTGTTCCTCTCTCATTGTCCTCATTCACCTTGGTCATACTGTGCTGACTTCCCGCAGCTTATGTAATGCCTTTCCTGTCTCCAGAATGAACTCTGGTGGGCTGCCTAGGAATAAGAATCTCTTCTCCCACCCACCCCAGCCCTGCTAACCATCAAAGAATAGTGTGGCTTCCTGTGTGCGAGCCTATCCTCTACTTCTTATAAAAATGTCATTATAAATTTTTTTGTCCCTTTGTGGTTGACTTCTGTCCCTCAGCATGATGTGTTCCAGATTCATCCATGTTCTCAGATGTCTCGCCGCCTTATCATTGGTCTTTGTCATTGCGCAGTGGTATTCCACTGTGTGAGTGTACCACATTCTGTTTCCATTCACCCATCAACACTTGGACTATTTCCAGCTTCTTGCGATTGTCAGTTATGCTGCAATGAACACGGATGTGTCCGTGTCTTTTTATGCCCCTGTTCTGATTTCTTTCGGATGGAGAGCCAGGAGTGGGATTGCTTGATTACATGGTATTTCTAATTTTAGGAAGCACCATCCTGTTTTCCACAGTGGTTGTACCGTTTAACAATCCTACCAGCAACTGATGAGGATTCCATTTCCCTGCATCCTCACCAGCATGTTGTTTTGTTTTGTTTTAATCGGTGTCATATTTTTCAGGGCTAACGTGATTTCTTACTATTGTCTGGATTTGCATATGGTGGCACTGTCTGGTAATCATTGGACTGCTAACTGCAGGGTCATCGGTTCAAATCTGCCAGGTGCTCTGGAAAAGACAGATGGAGTTATTTGTCCCCATAAAGACTTACAGCTTCCAGAACCCTATACAGATCGGGTCACTGTGAGTTGGAAAAAGTCAATGGCAGTGGGTTCTCCGTGTGTGTTTTTAATGTTTTTTGTTGTTGAATGTTTTTTAGGAGTGAAGTATCTGTTCGAGTCTTTGCTTTTTTGTTTTTTTGGATTGGATTATTTGTCTTTTTTGTTGTTGAGGTATTGGATTTTTCTGTATGCTTTGGAGATGCCATTCGGTCAATTATGCCGTTACCAATTTTCTCTCCTGACCCTCAACAGGTTGTCTTTTCACTCTTTTGGTGAAGTCTTTGGATGAGCAGAAGTTGTGAATTTTTAGGACGTTTCAGTTATCTAGTTTATCTTCCATTGGGTGTGCCTTTTAATTATGCCCAATGGTGCATTTAGGCCTGTATTAGTCTGGGTACTTTAGAGAAACAAATCCACAGCAACTCATGTATGAGAGTTTTATGTAAAGAAAGTGTGCATCAAGAAAACATCCCAACCCAATGCTGCCCAAGCCCACAAGTCCAACATTAACCCATTAACCCAACACCAGTCCACAAAGTCCTCCACCTCACAAAAACAGAGGCAATGATGCCGACTACAGGAGGAAAGCTGAGTCAGTGAACGAATAAGCATCTCAGCACTAGCAGGGGTCTCCACACGGCTGCTCCAGCACCCAGGGCTGCATTGGGATAGGTCCATGTAGCTTCTCCTTGGGGATGTCTT